AACTAATACGGTATCAAAGTTTTATATATTTATACTTCTCATTCAACCACATTCACTCTATCTAGAAGGCACAATTTATATGGATAGTWTTTATTTTTTACAATAACAAGCTTGAATGAAAACAAGCAAAATGAAATAAAAGTAACAACTTTCTATTTTTTGCCTTTTTTAAAAATGTAAGAAGTAGAAGTAAAAAGTAGGCTGAAAAATAATAACTCAAGTAAAGCACAGATACCCAAAAAATATACTTAAGTACAGTAACAAAGTATTTGTATTTAGTTACTTTACAACTCTGCCCATCTGCCTGTTTTCTGTGAAAAAGTGGAGGAGGAGTGATTGTCTCTGTGGTTAATGAATAAAACTAGGAACAGCTCTTCAACTTCAGTTAGTAAAATGTAAGTCATTATTATAGTAAAGAGAAGTGGTCTTTTTCTGAGATATGAGAATAGGTGTTTGAGTCAGGTGGTGAACTCATCTGATCTAAAGGAAAATAAAATGACAGCTACTGTGTAGGTTATCAACAAAGCAGCATGAACGTTACTCAGCTGAGTAAATAACACTCATAAACAACTCTCTCATGCAAAAGAGATGAAGTGTAAAAATACCTTGAAGGAACAAGTTGTTTTAGATAAATCTCTAAAAGGAGATTTTCTGATGACTGCAGCTTGTCTGGACTTTCAAAAGGAGCTGATTCAGTYGATAAAATCCATTCATGCTTTTAATAAAATGCTGAAAACCTTACTAAAATATATTYAGACATTTTTGGATCCAGAATATATTTTCATGGTAGAACAAAAACATGCCTCCTTTGGTCTTATGTTCCCAGAATGTCGGTCATTTTAATACTGTAGTTTTGCCTCTTGTTTTAGAACTAATAAATAGTGTGCACATCTTTCACTGACAGATATTAGCTGCTTGTTTAAAGCACATTAGTGTAATTGTTTTTCTTCTAATTGCTTGTATATGTGTGCAGGTGGACTCTGAGGAGCCTGTGTTTGAGGCTGTATTAAACTGGGTTAAACACAACCGAAAAGAGCGGGAGCCCTATCTGCCAGACATGCTCGAGTTTGTTCGAATGCCACTCCTTACCCCCCGCTACATTACAGATGTCATCGACGCTGAGGTGAGCCAGACGACCCTCAGCAGCTTGTTGTGTAATCATACGGCAAGCTGCAGATGAAAGATGGTCTGCTGAAGTATTTATCACACCATAATTAAGCAAGTTTCCACATGTTTTAGCCTCTCATTCGGTGTAGCCTGCCTTGTCGAGACCTAGTTGATGAAGCCAAAAAATTCCACTTAAGACCAGAGCTGCGGAGTGAAATGCAGGGCCCTCGCACACAAGCCAGATTAGGTAAGAACCCTGCTTTCAAATGCAATTTAGCTAAGTGCGTGTCTCTGATATGTGAGCCTTGTAATCACACAGTTTTCTCTCAGGTGCCAAAGAAGTCCTGCTGGTTATTGGCGGGTTTGGTAGCCAGCAGTCACCGATCGACATAGTTGAGAAATATGATCCCAAAACTCAGGAATGGAGCTTTCTACCTGTGAGTGTTGCATTTTGTGAGAGAAAAGCTTGGATTTTTATCTTCTCTGTCAGTTTGACTAAAACAGACTGTCTTGAACAGAATATCGCACGGAAAAGACGCTACGTGGCCACGGTGTCTCTGCACGATCGGGTTTACGTGATCGGAGGCTACGACGGCCGATCGAGGCTCAGCTCCGTGGAGTGCCTAGACTACACAGCAGATGAAGACGGTGTTTGGTACACCGTGGCCACTATGAATGTACGGCGTGGACTCGCTGGAGCCACGACACTCGGAGGTGAATATAGGGATGGGGCTGATTAAATCAAGTTTCGGGCTCCAACGTGTGAAGATATCCGATCCATGAGCTGTGTCTGTGCTATAATGTTGTCTAAACAACTCCAGAAGTGATTCCTGGCCGGCTTCTCTGTGAGCTGGCTGCAAACTGTGGAGTGGATTTCCTGAATGTAGGAGAGTCTCAAAGAGACATCCCTGCATTCAGGAAATCTATTCTACAGTTTGCAGCCAGCGAGCAGCTCTGTGGCTAACCCAGCACCCAATACCGCAACACAACTTGGTGTGTTAAAAAGTAGAAACTATATGGGATAAATCTTGTACCAGCAGGAATTGAATGTGAATTGCTCAGATTGAGTCTGTATGTGCATAATTTGAAATTGAATGCACTGGTTTGAAAATTAATTTTACTAAATTGAAACTAAATTTAAAGTTTTGTATCTGAATTAATTTGCTTTGAAACTGTATTTTGGTTTATTAAAAATTCAGTTTGTCTACTTTCACTGTCAGTTCCATAATTCAGATTTTTGTGTCACACATCCTGGTCCTTGAGAAAGCCAGCCAGAGTAATCAAACACAGATCCACAGATTTATGTTTCACTTTGGTGAAGTTTCCCTTGATGCAATCCACTGTAAAAAGTTATTTTATTGCAGTGATTAATTTGACCTATATGTAGAAAATGTTACATTTAAATCACATCATGGATCACATATTGATCAGATGCTGCTGCTGACTGATCCATGACGGGATAGAAATCTGGCTGGCTTTGTCAAGGACCAGGATGTGTGACACAAAAATTTGAATTTTGCAACTGAAATTGAATTTTGGAACTGAAAGTGAAAGTAGTCAAACTGAATTTTTAATAGACCAAAATACAGTTTCAAAGCAAATTAATTCAGATACAAAACTTTAAATTCAGTTTCAAATAATTAAATTCAGTTTCAATTTAGTGAAATTTATTTTCAAACCAATGCATTCAATTTCAAATTATGCACATTCAGATTCAGTTCCTGCTGGCACAAGATTTATTCCATACTTCGAACTATACACCAGTTTTAAAATTGTGTTGATAGTCCAGGTAAAACCAGAGTTATAATGAAGAACATTTGGACACCTTTTTTATGAAATGATCGTCATTTCGAAAGCTGCTGCAGTGCATTGAATAGGGTTCTGAGACATTTGTAGTGACTTGACTCTATATAAATAAATTGAACTGAATGTGTTTCTATTTCTTTTCTTTAAAATTACCTTCCATTTTATTCTTTCTTTGAAAAAGATTTTGATATTTAGACAGAAATGTTCACCTTTTGACAGACATGATCTATGTTGCCGGCGGATTCGATGGCAGCAGGCGTCACACAAGCATGGAGCGTTATGATCCCAACATCGACCAGTGGAGCATGCTGGGAGATATGCAGACAGCAAGAGAGGGAGCTGGTCTGGTGGTGGCAAGTGGGCTGATATACTGTCTAGGTATGGAAGAAAGATGTTCTAATAGAGGAGTTGCTTCAACCAAGTACTGTATTTATCCATATCTAATGTAATCTCATGCTGTTTTTTTGAGCTTACAAAGCATAAAAAAATTAGTCCTCTTGTATACAACTACTCCTAATTTTATAGATTTTCAGGATGTTTTCAGCCTTTACGGTGTACCCTCTGATGGGGAAAGGGATTATTTTGGGAATACTTACTTTTGCACAACACCAGTAAATGGTTGTGGACATTTAGCACATGCTTCATGTCATTTTGCTGAAAATGATCYGCTCCCAGAGCAGGAAGCCAGTTGTTAAATTAGCAAGATGGGCAGCTTCAGGTAACAGCTTGTCTGGTCCTACATGAACATATCGCTGACGTCCACGTCTTCTTTTCATCTCTGTGGTCAAAAAGAACAAAATAAAACGAGTTTCCTCTGACACCTTATCCGACAACACGATTTATCAATGAGTGAAAAAAACAAATATCCTGCTAACACACCTGACGCAGTCTACAGCAGGAGGGCAGAGGCAGAAATGATGATTTATACCCCGCAACACAATATCTCAAATCTATATGAGAAAATATTGAAATGTTTGTGGTTGTAAATCATCAAAAATTTGGTCAAAATTAACCTTGTGTATAACGAGCATAAATCCCAAACTTTATGGATGATTTTGGGGGTTGAATGTTTTGCGTTATACGTGAATAAACCTGGTAAAAAGAGATGGAGAAACTATCATGTTATTAGAAAATGTTAATGTGAATTGATTTAGTCTCATTCAGTGTACTGAGGATGAATACATGGTTATAGTTGTGATTATTTTAGATGAACCATTTTACACCCATTAGTTTACAAACCCTCAGTAATTTAACACTYTTCTTTTTCTTACTGCAGGTGGGTATGACGGCCTAAATATCTTGAATTCAGTAGAGCGGTATGACCCCCACACAGGACACTGGACCAGTGTGACGCCCATGGCTACAAAGCGTTCAGGTGTGTAGAAGGAAAGTGATGAATTACACCATCACAGTGCGTTGCTCTTAGTCTGATGTGTTTAAATTATATTTAGGGGCTGGTGTGGCTTTACTCAATGACCACATTTATGTTGTGGGAGGGTTTGATGGCGTTTCACACCTGGACTCGGTGGAAGTGTACAACATCAGAACAGACTACTGGACCACTGTAGCTAGTATGACAACCCCTCGGTGTTATGTAGGAGCAACTGTACTTCGAGGACGACTCTACGCCATCGCAGGGTAAGAAAAAGTTCCTTCCTTCTGCGTTTAATGTTTCTTACATGATACATGACAGGTGAGAGAGAGGGGGAGGGGTGAGATCATCCTCTACACCCATTATCTATTGAAAAGATCTGCCCTACTTGTACTACTGCTTTTAGGGCTTGGGCTACATGAATTCAAATCAACATAACATTTTAGGGCTTTATTGGGACCCTAACTGCTGGCGCTGTGGGTTTTTTTTTTATTCATGAAAACATGCACAGGCACTTTAGTTAGAAACAGTGAAAATGATAAATGCACAAATATAGGTTTGGTCTGAGGGTGAGGTTGAGTTGCTCGTGCACTTTGAAAAGGTTAAAGTGCCTGTGACATCAAATTCTTATAATAAAAATTAATGCATTTTTAGAAGGATAGCACTGATAACATATTGTAAAAAATATTTCATGCCTCTAAGATGAACAGTTGTTGAAATATTTGCATGTGAAGTAACAGGAAGTGATGTCAAAAGGGAATGTCTGCATGTGAACAGAGCATTGCTTAAATGGCTAACAACACAGACTGCAGAGAAGAATCTGATGTTTCTTTAGATTATTGTAATCACTATCACAGAGAGATGAGAAAGAATCATAGTTCAAATAATATTGTTTAAACAAAAAACAGGAAGTTTTCTTTCTCAAAGAGCTTCCCTTTGATGTCACTTCCTGTTTCCCTTTAGCTGAGCCAAGGTCAAAAGAAAATGTGCCAGTTATGTGACATAATGGGTAAATCTTGTGTATTATGCCAAGTTTCTTAAATATACTGTAAATATATTTTCTTTGACTTTTTGTATTTCATAGATATGCATGTCAGGCACTTTAAGTAGTACAAACGGCACTCTGTTATCTGCCATTGTCATGCTACGTTCACACCGAACGCRTTTTGCACAAAACGTCTCTCGTTGGACGCACTATTTTCACACTGAAGAACGCACTAGTGTTTAGACCAGAACAAGCAGCGGCAGCAGCTAGATGTGGAAGGAGCGTGTCCTCGGCGGGTGAATAAAGATAAAATAAAAAAAAATGGCTTTGATTTTTTTTTTACTAAAAAGCAAGTGAACATTGCGCACAGCAGATAATTAAATCACCAGATGATTTAGAGGCGATTTGTTCGGTTAGTTTCGTCACTCCAGAAGCTGCCCGCTGACTGACTTTTTTCTTTTCTTTTTTTTTTTGTCCAGAGCAGCTGATCCACATCGGTGCTGATATATCCAGCCAGAAAATCCAACTGCACACGGTCGATTTCAGCTAAATATCTCCAGTCCGTCTGTTTCGGTTTTCAGTGAGAGACGTGTCGAACGGCGAAAAGTTCMGATATTTGAACTCTGGCGGCGGCTCGGGTGGCGGCGGCTTCCGCAGCACCGCATGCGCGGAAAACGCTCTGCACCCCTTCCGCCTTCCTTGCGCGCCGCCCAAAACATACGTGCTGCGACGCACGACCCCTAGAGGCGCCTCCACCATAGACTTTGCATGTAAATYGGCCGCTCCTGCCGCTCAAAACGCGTTSGGTGTGAACGTAGCATTACTGTTGTTGTTCTACACGGGCAAACACAGAAAAAGTGTTGACTGCAGCCATCTACAGTGTGTGATTTCACTCCGATGTGGGCATTTCTAAAAAACCTCCACACTGAGACCTGAAGTCAAAAAGCTTTGTTTCAGAGAGAACGGACGCTGTTGTCATGTATAACAAAAATGCAACAGGAATGCTACAGTTTCACTCAAGAACAGTGTCGTGTAAACAGGGTCTGACTTGACAGTACTTGGCGTTCATTCAATGTACATGAAAGAATGCTCTCATCAAATAAATTGAATATATTGCCCATGCCGGCCTACATGATCATTTTATCAGTGCATTCTCTCAGTACTGAGGTGCTGTTTCCTCATAAACACATTTAAAGACTCAGTCAGCTTAATGCAAATCTTTTAGTGTTCCTGAATGAATGTAGGATTATGAAAAAACACTTTWCTTATTTCCAGTTTTACTGATGGCATCAATGAAATGTGTTCATGTAGATACAGAAGTTGAAACAGTTGTTCTGACCTCGGCCTTGTATGATGAAAAATAACTTTCCATTATGTTAAGTGACAGCAGGAAGTGGCACAACACTGATGGATTTAGTTTAAATGTGCAGATTTGTTCAGCATTTGTTTCAACACAAAGTATAATCATGTTAAGTGTCATAACCTGTGATGTGTTTGGATCACATAAGCCTTCAAACTCACTTTAATCATTAGATTGTATTTGTCTTCAGTACTTGAAGCAACACGCCCTCCTGAAGCCAGACCTCACTGTGGTTCAACAAACTGAGCTTTAAGCATTTTCTTCTTTGGGTGTTTTTCATTTTAGCTCTGATTGAATTCTTATTCTAAGTTAATAACATAAGAATGTTACTAATAAATTTAAATGTATTCTTTTATCTTTAAAAAGAGGATCATGCAAAATCAACTTATTTGAGCTTCATATCATGTTATATATAATAAGTTCAAGTTTATTTGCCATTTGCAGTAGAGAAACTACATTGGAAAACAGTGGCAAGAGCTCACATCCTCAACATACACACATAGACAAATTAAAAGATTATAAAAAAAAGTTAAAACATTAAAAAATTTAAAATTAAAAACACTGAACACATAACCCCTCATCTGCAACAGACTATAAATTCACAGAACAAGTTACATTCCATGTTACTGTGAGAAAGTTAATGTGCGTTATTCGAAACCCTCAGAGCCCGTGGAAGAATATCGCTCCCTCATCAAAAACAAAATCCCTGACTCTCCTGTGGCCACGTGGAGCTGCCTAAACACTTGCTGGTACAAAGCACCGCCTGTTTGAACAAAGCTCCTCCCTGAAACTCAGTCACCAGCTGAGCTCCCACCCCACAGAGCACACCCCCCACCCCCACCCTAAAGGAAATTTTGTGACTGATGAACTGAATTTCAGATACAGTCTTATATCAGCTGTAGTCATTTATTTTAAACTGTGATAGAATCAACATGTTTCTACTTAATATGTGTGCTCCTCTGTAAAATAAACAAATACATGTAGCTTCATAAACTGGGAACTAACTTGGTTTTCTGTTCTATTCGGACACCCATTTTTTAAACACTTTCTTACACTCCGAATCATTGTTTAAAAATGTGCTGAAGTGGGAGTGTCTGAAACGGTAGGAGGTTCTTAAAAAGACAGGCCAATTTCAAGGTGTTAGGATGCAAAGTCAAATTTATTTTTGTTATAAACAGCATTTTCATAACAACTGAAGGTAACATAGTTACATGATTGTGGTATAGAACTGAAAAATGTTCCTGGAAACATATAATACCCCCTTTAACATAAACTTAGGGTTTCTGTTGCATTCAGAAGCTTTTTTACTTCATTACAAAAACTATTGAAAAATACACCGGGTAAAATAAGTATTGAACACGTCACCATTTTTCTCAGTAAATATATTACTAGAGGTGCTAATGACATGAAATTTTCACCAGATGTCGGTAACAACCCAAGTGATCCATACATACAAAGAAATCAAACCATAAATGTCCAGAAATGAAGTTATTTGTAATAATGTGGAATGGCACAGGGAAAAAGTATTGAACACATGAAGAAAGGGAGGTGTAAAAAGGCATGGAAAGACAAGACACCAGCTGAACTCTCTCAGTAATTAGAAAGCAAGCCTGCCCCTTGTCAGTGCAAATTAATATCAGCTGGTTCAGTCCCAAATGATGGCCAGGTATCACACAAGAACCATCTGATGATGGGTAAAAGTAAAGAGCTCTCTCAAGACCTTCACAACCTTATTGTTGCAAAGCATAATGATGGCATCGGTTACAGAAGAATGTCTAAACTTCTGAAGGTTCCAGTGAGCACYGTTGGGGCCATAATTCAGAAGTGGAAAGAACATTATTTCACCATAAACGGACCACGACCAGGTGCTCCTCACAAGATTTCTGACAGAGGAGTGAAAAGAAWTATCAGAAGAGTTGTCCAAGAGCCAAGGACCACTTGTGGAGAGCTTCAGAAAGACCTGGAATTAGCAGGTACGTTTGTTTCAAAGAAAACAATAAGTAATGCACTGAACCACCATGGCCTGTATGCACGCTCACCACGCAAGACTCCACTGCTGAAGAAACAGCATGTTGAAGCTCCTTTAAAGTTTGCTGCACAACATTTAAACAAGCCTGTGTAATACTGGGAGAATAAAGTCTGGTCAGATGAGACCAACATTGAACTGTTTGGATGCCAGAATACACATCATGTTTGGAGGTCAAATGGCACTGCACATCAGCCCAAAAACACCATACCAACAGTGAAGTTTGGAGGTGGGAACATCATGGTGTGGGGCTGTTTTTCAGCATATGGTACTGGCAAACTTCAAATAATTGAAGGAAGGATGAGTGGAAAAATGTACAGAGACATTCTTGATAAAAATCTGCTTCCATCTACCAGGATGATGAAGATGAAATGTGGCTGGACATTTCAGCAAGACAATGAGCCCAAACACAAAGCCAAGGAAACTCTCAGTTGGTTTCAGAGAAAGAAACTAAAGCTGCTGGAATGGCCCAGCCAATCACCTGACCTGAATCCAACAGAAAATCTATGGAAAGAACTAAAGATCAGAGTTCATAGAAGAGGTCAACRAAACCTTCAAGATTTGAAGACTGTTTGTGTGGAAGAATGGGCCAAAATCACACCTGAGCAATGCATGCCACTAGTTTCTCCATACAGGAGGCGTCTTGAAGCTGTCATTGACAACAAAGGCTTTTGTACAAAGTATTAGATAAATTTCAGTAAGTGTATTCAATACGTTTTCCCTGTGCCATTCCACATTATTACAAATAACTTCATTTCTGGACATTTATGGTTTGATTTCTTTGTATGTATGGATCACTTGGGTTGTTACCAACATCTGGTAAAAATTTCATGTCATTAGCACCTCTAGTAATATATTTACTGAGAAAAATGGTGACGTGTTCAATACTTATTTTACCCGTTGTGCTTTAAAATCATTGAATTYATGTTGATTTTAGGGCTTGTTGCTGTGTTACAACTTGCTTCTGATGACAAATTCTTCTTCTATAACACAAATTTCTAATTCTGTTTTCATTCATTTCCAAACTTCCAAACTCTGTGCTTCTTGTTGCCTCTCCAGGTACGAYGGGAACTCTCTCCTCAGCAGCATTGAATGTTACGACCCGGTCATCGACTCCTGGGAGGTCGTCACGTCGATGGCGACCCAGAGGTGCGACGCAGGCGTGTGCGTCCTGCGAGAAAAGTGATGCTCTGCTGGAGCGAACAGCAGGAGGACAGGCAGCTAGACCTTTGCTAAAACGATGCTGAAACAAAACCACAAAGGAAGATGTTTGTGTGCCAGTATGCAAATAGATACTTTAAAAAAAAATGCGCCAGTTTGGGCTTCACCCTTCATCAGTCGGACTGCGCTACAGAGATTCAGCCTCGCCACGGTAAACTGCACTTCACTTCCAAGGAGCCCATCACCACCTGCATGACTCTTCGGCGGTGTCTGTTGTTACCTGTGAGATTATTTTTTCAGTTTGTCTTCAAAGTGCAATATATTTTTACTCATCAGAAGAAAACACGGAGCAGATTTAGACTCCAGTTGCTGCTACCTTGCCTTATGACTTTGGCCTACATCAAACAGTGAACATTCATGTTGCCTCCCATTTGAATGATGGTTACACTACATGTGCTTAGTCCAGAGTCACCTGATCTGCAGACGCATAAGCAGGTCAGCGACTCAGCTCCTTTTTCTAAGTCATTCTGTAAATGGTATTTTTAGACTGAAATCACTTTCACATGAAAGATTTAATACTAATTCTTTAACTTTCAAGAACATAATTGTTTAAAAAAAAACAACTGAAATCTACAACTTGAATGTTTTTGTTTTTCATTTGGGTGAAATTGAGAAATCATTAAAAATCCAATGCATGTGATTTATTTTTTCTCTCCCCTCAGCATTTAGATCTGGACGTGTAGGATAAAAGTCACTATAGGATAACATCACTGTTGTCTGAGAGGTCAATAAAAAGCTCTGAGAAATGACACGTTTCATCCAGATCGAATCACCTACATGCTCCTTCACACAGAGTCAGCTGAGTCACAACAAAAAACCTGCTCACGCAAAGCACTTCTGTTCCTGTAATTTCATTAATAACGTTTAGTTTTTACTCAAAAACTGAATAGTTTCTTTAAGATACTGATGCTATCGAATTGTTAGTAATGTCATCAGGACAAGAAAAATAATTATGTTTGGTTAAAACTGAAACAGCTAAGATTTGATTTTAGTCAAATAAAAATATGTATTTTAAGTTAATAGCATTATTTCTTCTTAATGTGAATTTGAACCCGCAGAGTGACCAGTGACAGCCACACATTCAAAACTCCCATTGACTTCCATTGTACAGTGGGTAAAATAAGTATTGAACACGTCACCATTTTTCTCAGTAAATATATTACTAGAGGTGCTAATGTCATGAAATTTTCACCAGATGTCGGTAACAACCCAAGTGATCCATACATACAAAGAAATCAAACCATAAATGTCCAGAAATGAAGTTATTTGTAAT